AACGCTGGAACCCACTTGTGAGTCCATCGACATGCGGCCAGCGAGGGTATTCGCAGGTGGTCCCGTGGCCGCCACGCTGCCAACGGTGGAGCCCACCTGTGTTTCCATCACCGACATGCGGTCAGCGCTGGAACCCACGGTTTATCGAGTAGAGGACCTGAAATGCATAAAGCATGATAAGACGCCGACAATGATATTTCACGCCACTCACAGCTTCAGCAAATCAAATGTTGGAAGATGAGACTTTCGCTATAGGAAGCAAGGATGAGATATGTTTTGTTCGAAAAGGGGATTTCGTGGGGTAAATGCGGGAATCGATCTAGTGGAACTCACACTTCATGGGCGTGCCGGTCCATTTTGCTCTCGGAAGCCACCTTACTGGACATCGAGAACGGTCATCGTGTGTTATATCCTTGCAGAGGGAGATGCATCCCTCTAATTTTGAGTTTCATACACAAAGTATTTGGGTTGAACAGGCGAGAAGGGTAACCTGCGGGAGGGAATGAGTTTTGTGGAAAAAAGATTTCGATTCCCTAGGTCGAGCACAAACGTGACAAAACAGAATATGAGTGTCATCGTTCGGTAGACACATACGATCTCGGAGTGTTAGTACCGGTTCTATAAAGGATATCCCTGGCCGTTGACAAGACGGGGAGGCCGTGGGCCTGCATCTATGAAAACGCAATCTGATTGGTTACTTCGAAGACAATCATGTGCCGATAAGCACTTTATCTCCACCCGTAGGTATCACTTTAAGCATCCATCCCGAGGCCCATTCATCACTTTTCAGAGCCTCAAAAAATGAGAATTGAAACATGGATGCTTTCATATCCAGGAAGCGTTTACGGATCTCAAATCCCAGCGAGGAGACCAAGCACGAGTTATCAGACCCCCGCGAAGACACTACTGATACCAAGCTAGCAATCCTGCTATCTCTCTTCCCAAGTATCAAGCAGGATGAGTTATTGGATATACTCGTGTCCTGCGAAGGGTCTGTGGAGAATGTCGTGGGACTCCTGTCTGCAAAAGGCTCCACAGTAGGCACGCCCGTCAGCAAAAAGCGAGCTGCTGTTGCCTCATCATTCGGCATGCAAGCATCTCTCTCATCGCATGTTTTTACGACGGCCGAAGATGGGAGCATGAAACCTTTGCATGAAAGTGTGAGCAAGAAAAAGCTTCCGCCTCTGCGAAAGGGCAAAACGTTACACCTTTATTCGCCTGAAGATATTGCCACCCACACACCTTGTACTATCATCCACAACTTCCTGCCAGCTAAAGAAGCAAATACACTTCTGCTTGAGTTACTTGATGAATCGGAACACTTTTCTCGGTACGACTTCCAGCTCTTCAACCGCACCGTCCAGAGTCCCCACACCCACGCTGTGTACGTCTCTACACCCGAAGAGCACCGGCAACAGACCTCAGAATACACCTACGGTGGCACATATCGGTCAAATGTGCGCCAGGCGACACCACAGCTACGATCAGTGTCACGCCAAGTACAGCAAACTGTCAACAGCGAGATCAACAAACGGATTCGAGACATCTATCCAGACGGAAAGAAGTTACAGTACCAGTCCTCAAAAGAGTGGCGACCCAACGCAGCGTTTGTCAACTGCTACGACGGGCCTACCGAAAGCGTGGGATATCACTCCGACGAACTCACCTACCTCGGGCCCCACCCAGTGATAGGAAGCCTGAGCTTGGGCGTGGCACGCGAATTCCGAGTCCGTCGGATAGTAGCTCGAGACGACGAGACTGCGGAAGAAGATCGCGATGCCAATACGACTAGTCCAGTTTCAAATTCTGCACGGAACCAGACTGCATCAGCTGCGCGCTCTGACGCCCAAGGTCAAATCTCAATCCATCTTCCGCACAATTCTCTCCTCATTATGCACGCAGAGATGCAAGAGGAGTGGAAACACTCTATCGCCCCGGCTCGAACCATTTCCCCACATCCAATCTCCGGGAACAGGCGTATCAATATCACATATCGTTGGTACCGTGATACTCTACACCCACGCTACACTCCACGTTGCAAGTGCGGCGAACACACGGTTCTCCGGTGTGCACAACGCAAGAATGAGACGCGAGGGAGATACATGTGGATGTGCTACGCTAGCTTTGCACCAGGAAAGGAAGGGTGTTCATTTTTCCAGTGGGCCGAGTTTGATGATGATGGGGATCCGGTGTGGGGAAAGAAAGCCATCCTGGACAAGGCTCCTACTTTGGCGAATTTCTCGGCCTCTCAATAGATTACGAGACTCATGTATGGTAGAGATGTGGAACCATCCCTTAACCTCGGATATACAAAATACGAAGTATCTGTACAAAGTACAGGAACCTTGAACGGCCCGTAAAATAAGGCTTGGAGACATCGGGGAATGCGGAAAGCGGGCTGGCAATTCCGCGGACTCCACACTTGGCGTCTTGACACCAATGACATGCCGGATGCTGGCCTTTCGATCGTCCCTCGAACGTATCTAAATGGGCTGGCCTATTTTCAACAGTGTACAGAAACGGGTAAAGATTGCCCTGACACCCTCAACACGAAGACATGGATGCGGAATCCCCGCCCTGCTCCGGCGTTGCAAAAGTGCGGTATAAATAGCTGAGCTCGAATTTTATGCCTTTTATTGGTGATCTTTCATTTGCCATCTTTATGCGATCGTGATTGGAATCTACGCTATGACTTCAGGAACTGGGGATACTTACGATTATATTGTCTGCGGGTAAGACCTACGCAGAGAGATGCTTATAATCTTGCTAACCATGATTTAGAGGAGGGACCTCTGGCTGTGTGGTTGCTGGTCGTCTAGCTGAAAACCCGGAGGTCAGAATCTTGTTGTTGGAGGCTGGACAGCATAATAAGGACCTGGAGAATGTTCATATGACCGGCGGGTAAGTTACAAAGGCCTAGTTGATGCGTCCATTGTTACTGACAGATTAGGTGGTCAAACAACTTCGATGCCGAGACCGATTGGAACTTCATCACTCCTCCAATGGCGGGAGTTGACAATCGCCAAGTGAAGCTGAGTCGTGGCCGATTCCTTGGAGGATCCAGCGGGTGCAACGGCACGCTTTGCATTCGTGGCAACAAGCAGGACTATGATGATTGGGGACTAGATGGGTGGAGCGGAGAAGAGTTCTTCAAGTATATGCGGAAGGTAAGTGGCATTAGACCACGCCTCAAGGCCGATCCATACCTATATGAGTACGTACTAACAACATGACTAGTCGGAAACCTTCCACCCAAAGGCATGGTTTCAGGCCGATAAAGGGAGTCACGGATACTCCGGTCCTCTTCACACAGAGCCGCATGATCTGGCGCCAATCTCCCAGCTTTTGATGGATTCTTATGCCTCGCAAGGTATGCCCTTGCATCATGACATGTTCAGCACTGGCAACGTTGCACAAGGATGTGGCCATGTACCTCGCACAGTGTACCAGGGCACGCGGACAACAAGCGCAGATTTTGTCACCAACAAGAACCACCGTGGGAACATCACCATCAAGACCGATACCACCGTCGACAAAATAATCGTTAGCAAGCAGGCAAACGAGACCCGCGCTTCCGGCGTAGTTACGCGGACTTCAGATGGCGGCTCCAGCACATACTACGCTCGAAAGGAGATCATCATCTCCGCGGGCGCCTACTGCAGTCCTGCAATCCTCCTTCGATCTGGCATTGGCCCCAAGGCAGAGGTAGAACAACATAATATTTCTTCTTTGGTCAATCTACCAGGCGTCGGCAAGAACCTAATGGACCACCTCGTCAGTAATTCCTACATACTAACATGAACCATCCTAACACCCCACCCTCCAGATTGTATTTATGTTCTATGAAACCGAAAAGCAAGGCCTAACAAACGACCACCATGTCTACCACGGCGACAACTTCGACCGGACGTACGCACAATGGAAAGAGAAGAAAACAGGCTTTTTATCCACCTTCCCCTTCGGCAGTTTCGCCTTCGCACGCCTCGACGACCGACTAAAAGACGAGCCTCTCTGGAAAAGCGCCTCCCGTGAACCAGGTCGTGACCCCATGGGCCTCACACCACAGCAACCCAACATCGAGTTCTTCAGCACGGAGTGCTACGGTGGTCCCAAGCAATATGACCAGTTCCCGATTAACAACCAGCACGCGTTTTCCCTGATTGCAGAGCTGTTTGCGCCAAAGTCTCGTGGCTCCGTGGTTCTTGAATCGGCGGATGCGTCGGTGAACCCGGTTGTTGATTGTAATTATTTGGCTGATCCGCTTGATCTGTTGGTTCTTAGTGAGGCTTGTCGGTTTGGGAATGAAGTTGTTATGCAGGGTGCTGGGACTAAGGATATTGTCAAGGGGTCTTGGCCGCCGCATTTGAATCATCATACTTATAAATCGAGGGAAGAGTGGATTCCATATGTGAAGCAGCATGCGACTACTTGTGAGTTGGTGGAGTGTTGGATACGGTTGGCCTTCTGATTCACTGACGTGTTTGTTAACAGGTTACCACGCGGCGGGTACTTGTGCCATGGGGAAGAAGGATAATCCCAATGCTGTTCTCGATGAGAAATTGCAGGTCAGGGGTGTTTCAGGGTTGCGAGTTGCTGATTGCAGCGTCATGCCCACGTTGCATGGAGGACATACCCAGATGCCGGCTTATGGCATTGGAGAGAAATGTGCGGATTTGATCAAAGAGACATGGCGGATGGCGGGCAATGTCTATCCTCGAATCTGATTTTCATGTCAGTTCTGACGTTTTGGGGTTCATGTACCTGCTTCATGTCTGCGTTATACCAAGTGTTAGTACTGGATTGGAACACAAGGAGTATTTTCCATTCATTAGTCAAATAGCGAGTTGCATTCAATTCAACTTTTACTTCAAGAGCAAGAGAGAGCCTTCCTATACAGGTACAAATATAAACAATAAGTCAAGTCCGTCAGGAGCAAATAAACCGTAAGGTCCATAAGAATAGTGTGATGACCCCAAAAGAACAAATCCAAAAAGTTGATCTCAACTGATTTCGCTTGCAGATCCCAAACTGATACTGATAGCGTCATCATCCAGTTCATACGACATTAGGCCTGAAACCTTGCGATAATCGTTAGAAGGACGGGGCGGCACACCCGGGGTGCGCGAGATGGTGCAGTGGGTTTCCAGGCAAATAGAATGCGGTCTCGGTAGCAAAGAGTGCTGATGCTCGAGGCGGGCGCTTAGAACATGTTGGGCAGCCGGCTCAGAAGAATACGCTTTTATAACACTGTTGATCTGCCTGATCAAGTCTTCGAGCACGGGATGTTCAGTCAATTGAGTTTCCTGATAAAACTCGATCGGCACACCAATTTTCACTTTGAAGATCCATGTCTCTCCTGGTCGTAAACGCGCCAGATGGCAGTCTTCCATTGCCGACTCAAACCGGCATGCGTGGCCCTGCTCAACAAACAGTTTTAAGTCCGATAGGGCCCCAGGGCTGAGACCAGTACGAAGCTGCCGAACGACCTTGGAGACCTTTCGCATGAAATGAACTTCACAGGATCGTGGATCGTCTGCATCGGCATCATAGAAAATGTGCCAGCCAAGTGGATGGTTTTCTGTGCCAAGAGGAAAACGAAGCTGAGGGGAGATTGTATGGATACCAATAGCCGTGTCCACGCCAGATACAAACAGATTTTCTGGGGGACACGCGGAAACGAATACCAGATGACAGAACGCTGCTCTGGGAGAGGAGTGAAAGAGTCGAGAGGCCTGTCGAATAGAATTACCCACGTCAGAGGATCTTCTCATTTTCTTCTTCAACCGGCGGAGGGAAAATTCATTCAGAGCAGTTCTCAACGTCTCAAATGAGTGGAACCCTAACGGAAGCAATGGCTTGAACCCGTTTCTAGAACTTCCGTCAACATATGCTATGGCTATCCTGTCACTGTCAACGACCAAGTTCGAAGCGAGCACAGAAGAGGCCAGGACCATTGATGTCAAAAGGCTAACAGAAGACTGCTGCCTGTTTTATACGGTCAGCAAAACATGTTCTCTTTGACGAGTAGGGAAACAGGTTCAACTCACAAATTGTCAAAAAGTATAATAATGTCAAGGGGTGCAAGGGTCGACGTCTCAGGCAGGGAAATAGGCTCAACATCAACAGACACATTTACTGACGTCCACACAGACATCGAATCTGTGCCCATGCACGGCCAGCCTGCGTAGGATCTCATTGTGGCAAATGCGACAGGAAGCTCCAACGGACAAAGTAATCCGGATGACCCTGGGCGCAGCATGTTTGATAAAGACCGGGCACCATCCATTCTGGGTTTGTCCTTTGAGATGGAATCGTCTGGCGGTTCCATTGCACCGGAAGCCGAGGCTGACTTTGAAGAGATACATGGCTCTACAGAGCCATAAGACCCAGAGCTCCAGCGGACAAGCAGTTGTGGCGCTAACTGATACCCACTCGCAGTCATGACTCCTCTTCGAGGATCAACACGGCGGCACGGCGTCTAAATAAAGAAAAAGGTTAGTAAGAACAAAGCTCTTGAAGCCATGACCGAAATTACCTGGTCGAGAAATGGGTCGTCATTCGCATCAAGACCAGTTTTGCGGATACCTCGGGAAGCTGTAGCATGATCCTGACGGATTTTAACGACATCGATATTGTACAGACTATCACTGAGGGATGGGGTTCTGGTTGATGTCGCAAGCTCGCTTGAATCGTATTCCACGCTCGTGGAAAGGGATGAACGGCGAGTAGGGATCTGTGGGTACGACATACTCGAAAGAGAGCTAGATGTCGAGTTGGCTCTATGTATCTGTGTGATGCATGGGGTGCGGCGTTTGAGCACAGTGATCGGTGTAGTTGGTGTCTCCTCCATGGTGTCGCGAGATCTAAATACGCTCTCTGTTGGTGACAGGGCGCTCAAACTCAATCCGAATATCCGAAGCCTCCGTCGCACGAGCTAAAGTCGATTGGGGCGTGACGGGACAAGTCTCTGAGTCCGATGGGATCTTCTTGCGTCTCTGCTGCTTCCAAAGACTGAAACACGACAGGCACGACAGGATCGATTCTTTGAGGGAATGAATGCTCCAGTAGTTGGAACAAGCAAGAGCGATGACAACAACGAAGATGAGCACAACGATAGGAACAAGGATCAATGCAATAATTAAAGCTGAGCTTTTGATATCATATGATAGCTTATAGGTCATTTTGTTCGAATATAATTGATGTGAGGAGGAGAAATGGGGAAGTAAACGACATTGAAGCCATATGCTCCTGCCGCTTCCTAGAGGACTGAAACGACTAATATGGCAATGACGATGTCGTTCCCATGGCTCCTGGACGGACGATCCCTGGAACTCTTCAAGGTTAAGTCGGATGAATATTCAAAAAGAAATGTAAAGTAGCAATTGGGTATCATAGTAGCACTTATATCCCGTTCCCTGCCATCGCAGCCATCTTTTCCATGACTGAGTTCAAAGTAGTATCATCCAGCCGCGAAAACCGAATCTAAAATGTGGTTAGTATAACTCGAGACTAGGCATCAAGGGTCATATACCATTTCGTCCATACCCCCACGAGCGGCACCTCCAAACAGCATCGGCTCAGAGTGAGAGTTTTCAATCTCATCTTTCACCCTCCTAGCCCAAATTCCATCCCAATGCCAATCCCCCGGAAGGCGAGCCTGCGGGCTTCCCCGTTTCAGTTGTCCTCGTGGCCCTCCTCGACGATGTGCCTGCCATGCATGCCATGCTCCAGGGTTCCCTGCAGCCTCAACCGGCAGCGAATCCAAAACCAATTCGTCGTCAAATGTGGACCGAATGTAATCCAATATCTCCGACACTGGGACGACAGTTCTTTGTTCCGAAAATTGATCCATGGCAGGTGCCTGTGCCAAACGTGGTGCTTCTACACCGCCGTCCTCACTAGCCGCTGATGTGACTGGGGGTTTTGACGCATTCGATTCATCGCCACCATCTGTAACCGGGTCCGCAGAGCTTTCATGTCCCGTCGATGCAGCACTTGCACTATTACCGCTTACATTCCGTGATGTGTTCCTCGATGCTAGTCCGCTCCGCTTTGCCCTACCAAACCAATGAGGAAATCCATGGCGCAGACTGAATCCGCCGGGCGGTAATCGCTCATCATCTGTTGCGCTAACGGGATTGTCACTTGCCGAGCCAGTGCTAAAGGTATATGTAGTGAGAGGGACAATCAATGGGTGGAACAAGTCAGTCGCGAAGGTGACTAGAGGAGGAAGGTCGGGATAGGTGTCTGGGAAGCGGAGCTGGAACCGGAGGACGGCTGAAGCATAGGGGCCTACAAGCGGGAGTCAGTCGACGCATGGCGCAGTAAATAATACGTTTGGATTCACCTGAGCGAACAAAAATCACTCCATTCCAGATTGTCGGGTCTCCGGGGGCGAGGCTCACATAAACCCCTGGCGGTGCTGCACGTCTCAAGCTCGCGCTGTGGAAAAGTCAGTACACAGATCGGTCTGCGCGGGGTGAACAGGCTCACAATTCCAGGTGGAGCTGCTGCTTTCGAAGAGAAGGTATGCATGGCAACTTGGAGGTGGACATGTTTACTTTAACAGAGGAACGTTGGAAGTTGGGAAGCTCCGGTTGACACCCAGCTTATCGATTGCTTATCGGCGATCTACATCCGACCTCAGACATTGAACTTGAGGTTTTTTAATACATATCCGTCAAGAGAAGACAGACTTTGTTAAATCCAAGACGAATAGCCAATACTAATAAAACATGGAAACACTGTTCCATGTGTTTCTTTGCTGAACATACTTTATATTTCACGCATCAAGTAGGTACATACCAAAAGTGTTCACCTCCCTCGAAACACCATACCTAAAAGTTCCTTTATATCAATTATGGCAACTCGCAACATTTATTATTATGGGAAGGGAGGAAGATGATGCTAGTTCTGGCACAGATAATAGTATCAGTTTTGATGTATGCGTATTGCCCTTCTTGCAATACCTGCTGGGGTGTTCTTCCTTCGTCGGTCTTCAAGAAGAGCGTGAAATTATCTGTCGGCTTTCCCCGACTTTCGTTCGTCTGAGTTCCCAGGTATCGTCTCCTTTATTTGTTTCCGGATGAGCTCAGCTGGAGCGGTAAAGGCTGAAGGGGACTATATTTTCGCTCATTTTAAGACAAGTTGCCAAAGAGGTCTGGTTTTGGAAATTTGTCGTCGTCCTTTGAGAGGAATGAATACACGTTAGTTCGGTTCGTTTATGGGAAGAGTGAAATACAACGGCGTCAGGTTGACCTAGGCGAGCAAAGAGGCAATATAATAATCCACTACTTCGACTCGAGATATTGTTGAGGCTTAGATTGCATAGTTATACGAGCTTTGGAGGGGCAGGTAATTGAGGGGTACTGGCGTCTTCGGTCGAATATATACATACATGTATTAAATTCCGCCAGGGCTCAGACCGTCTGACAACATACCCCCTGTATGCTTTTCCGCTTTTCTAGTTTATTCCAACCCATTTAAAATTGTCAATATGAAGACCATCGGAATCTGCATCCCAACCATTGAAGGCGGGGTCATTGCCCACCAAGAAATCGGACGAGAAGCAGCGCGGCGGGGCATTGCTTACCCTCAGATCGTCACCCATACCCCTCTCTACGGAGATCTGCAACAAGCGCTCAAGTCCGGTGACAACCAGTCCCTGGCTTCATTGCTAGCTGACTCGATCAACCGTACTGCCAAAGCTGGCGCCGAGTTTGCCATCATCAGTGCCAACACTCCACACGTCGTTTTCGATGACATTGTGGCCCAGTCAGATATCCCTGTTCTTAACATCCTCGATGTCACTGCAAATCACTGCAAAAAACAAGGATACAACAGCGTTGGTGTTCTAGGCACAACCTGGACTGTCAAAAACGGTCTCTACAATGGTCCGCTACAAACGAGGGACATGGCTGCGGTCTATGTGTCTGATACTGACCAGGCAATCGTCATGGATGCAATTCTAAACGAGCTGGCTAGTGGAATCTTCCTGGAAACTACGATAAGCGAGTTGGTTCGCATTTCTAAGGAGCTTGCTACACGTTGTGATGCTATCATCCTTGGTTGTACCGAGCTGCCTCTTATTCTTACAGAAGAGAACTGCGGTGCCGAGGTTGTCGACACAACACGACTTCTATCCCATGCGGCTCTTGATTTTGCGACCAAAGATTGAGCAGTACAGCCTTTTGCCTTAAATATCTATCTTTTTACTGCTCCAAACTTCATGAATATGAATCATCGCCCTCGTTAGGACACAATCTAATCTAAACCATGTCTATGATCCATCTACATGCTCATTGACTGTAAAGTCTATCCAAATCCGCTTCTTTCCCCAAAAGACCCAAATGTACAATCCCCTCACCAACGCCCTCGTATATCCCTCCAGCTACACCTTCCATCCACCAAGCTGCGAAATTTGCAAGAGCAGTGCCAACCCGCCCTTCGTTGAACTTGCAAACAGCAGCTCCAATATTAACAGTGCCTTTCCCCAACCCATCAGCTGCCTCCAGTGTAGTAGTCACGATGCGCTCAGTAATGTGATGTGTCCGCTCATACTCGTATAGTTGGCGCAATAGCACCCTTAGATATGGTAGAAGGAGCCGCAATAGAATGAACAGCTGCAAAATTGTCGAGGCGAGAACTTTATGGAGATATGATCTTGGCTGGGGGGTTATGTTACGATTCGCGCTATCCAGATCCCCGGGTGGCCGGGGGTATGGCATCAATCCAACCTTGACCGTTTCTGGCATATGGCGCTGAAGCATGGAAGTTTCCTCTGTGGTTAAGTCGGAAGGCAAAGCATCGAGAAGGTAGACCAAAGCGTTGACATAGAGAGACCGAGCCAGACGGCCATCAGGCTGCGGCTGCTGGGCTTCATATCCCGAATTGCGCAGAAGATTGAACGCTTTACGAAGTTAGTGGAATCCTTGCAATAAATATTTTATACAACAACTACAAGAGAACTCAGGACTCACCAGGTACAACTCGATTCCACCGGAGGCCAGACTCGGTCTCGTATTTCGTTGGGGACGCTATATCATCTCGGAGGCTATCTGATCCCACGGAACCAGAGTCGAACGAATCCAAGTCATCGCTGGCAGTGGAAGGCCTTTGGAGCTCGGGTGCTACCGACGCAGAGAATTGGCTATGACATAGCAGATGAGGTTCGGACGAAGATGACAGTCCACGGCGCTGATCCCCGCTTGACTCGGTGGCCTTGGGAACGGCTCGGGAGGAATATAGGCGGGGCAATCGACGCCGAATAGATGCCGGGATGGGGAAAATAGCGAGTCCCGAGTACTCCATTAGCATTGCGGTGATGTGAGTTGAAGTTGACAGCTAATTATTTCCCAGACGTATATAAACTTGTACGTTTTTGCAAAATCTGGGATCAAATGGTAAATAGGAAAACAACTAAAATAGTTCAACAAAAATCTCCGGTTTCACATGTCAATTCCAATGTTCCGATATGCTGGCTGATAAGGAGATAGGAAAATTCCATCAACTTCCTAGAAAAGGACCCTATGAGTTCTTAAAACGGATCTTGCTATCCGTATAATTCCTCTGATACCTCAGCTGGAAGAGCTCAAGACTGTAATTGCCCTGTTCTTCAGAGAACTGTAATCTTGAGGTCCCTGACTTTTCGTCCAAATTGATGGAGCACTCGCTATACGTCGTCCGACTCTAAATGATTGGCTAGCGATCGTAGACAATGGAAACTGCGCTTCATGAGGTTTCGATGCTGATCATACGATTCAGATCCGATGGATCGGGCAACGAGACCTGGGAAATCTCATGAACTTGAAAGCATATAATCTGAATCTATAGAACCTATTCTTACAAAATCAACATCATTTTACCAGGCATCATCTCTCTCAAAAGATAGATCCATGTGACACTGCGATCTAGATCGAGTGACCAATAATGCTGGAGGAAGAACAACACTTTGCGTCGATCGAGCACACCGCTAATTTTCATGACAGCCTCCATTTCCCGAGAGACCATCTCTTGCATTGCCGGAAGTCCTCTACACTCAGTTCCCAAAATGAACAGAGGCCAGACAAGATCATGGGCGAATGTTTCTCTGTTTGAGAGAGAGTATAAATGGTCCAAAATCGAGTCTCGCGAAGCTTGAATATTGGAATCAGCCGAAGAGTTGCTTTTCAATACCTGATAGCTGTATATCAGGCTTGCATGATAAAAGATGGAAACCAGATGCTGGAAGTCTTGGGCATGGCACCCCTGCAGGTGTATTCTTTGGCCTAATAGTGCCATTCTCTGCCTTGCTGCATCCACTTCGCGAATGATGTTCTCGATCTGGGCTGGGTCCACAGTAGACCCTTGATCATATGCAACTCGCTCAATTCGTGTCACTCGATGAATAACGCGTACAAAGTCACTGAAGATGGTGATATCGTTGGAGTTTTCAAATTGTTCCCCTGTGAACTCATCGGCAAGATCAAAGGTTGTGAGACCCGCAAAGACACTAGCGTAGTAATGTTCGTAAAGAAGGAATGTGTCGATTTCGTTGAGTGATGCGCGAGAAGAAGCCTGTTCTCTCCATTGGACTATAACTCGAGCTGCGTGTAAGTGCATTCGCCACTTTATAGGCTCTGCGTCAAGGAGTTCGACGTTGTATAGTATGAGCATTGAGGCGAGAATACAGCTGATCTCGTTCGGGTCGAGATTTCCAATTTGTGGCGTGTCTCGCTCTCTCAACGAGCTGATGTGCCTCGCCAGCAAGGCTAAGGCATTATTTCGAAATCGAAGCGAGATGCTTTGTAGATAGTTATGTCGAGGGTGATCCTGTGCATATTTGAATGCAAGGTCCTCAGATGAGAGAGACAACACAGCACAAAGGACTGTTGGTGACATCCAAGCAAGAGGAATGATAACTTGTCGCCATGGATTCGTTGGCCCATCTACCCAAGCAAGCTTCCTGGCAATGTTTTGTTGAAAATGCTTCATCAATTCTAACGTCGTGGGATTGATATTCAGCCCTAATCCACGCTCGATTGATGCGGCGTTCTCCTTAAGGGCTGGAATTCGATTCGTCGAGGTATTTCGATGATCTTCGGGAACGTCGAAATTCGTCTCAGCGGATTCCAGAACTGGTAGCATTCTTCCTGTTAATTTGCCCCTGCTGGCGACACCGTTACCCCATTTCAGAATGATATCATAGCCGGGGCATGGCAACCCTCGAGAAATGCATTTTCTGCATTCTGGTAAAGTCCGGTCGCAATTGATACGCCTCCTCGTGCAGTTTGGGCAGTCTTGTCCAGGTAAGCTCGATGGCCTAAAAATAGCTGGTGTCATCTAGGTACCTTTATGTGCACTTGTATTATTCAAGTGGTTCGCAGACATCAGGAGAATCTCAATTTGAATTAGACAATTGACAATCTGATCAATCACAAAGATATGGCATTGCTTAAAGCGAGGCGCAGCTTGGAATTGGCTGGGTCCAGCAAGGTCGATGTCGCTTGTCAAAATTCGCTTCGGGTTGAAGGCGAATAGACATGCATAGACACCGAGAATATCCGCAAAAAAAAGTTATTTAGGTCAGGTCTGGATTCGGTGGATAGTGTGACAGGAATAACTGCTGTTCGCGACGTGATGAAAAGCAGGATAAATGATCTCCCGCGGAACGGCCATCGAAGAGGAAACGACATCACGTGGATATATAGTCACGAATACATCCTGACTTGACTTGACTCTGACTTCAGTTCTTATTTAATTTGCTGGTGTAAAAGGGGAAATCCCAGCTTCAATTCCCAGTCAGATTTAAATTCCCAATTAAGCGAGTAGTAGCCAAGCAGACTTTTGCTACTTTTATTGTTGATTACTGCTTGTATCCAAAATGAAAAGGTTCGTACTGATAAATGGCACTGGTTGCTCATCACCACCATTCGTCTATCCCAGATATCTTCTATTGAGGTACTTCCTTTCTATATGCCGATCGGATACCCCTGTTCTGCCCAACCTAGTAGCACCTGCTCGTGTGTAACAATTTCTGAGACTCGCGCGTAGGGGGAGGGTTAATTTTCCCGCGCCGGTGACGGGAATCGGTTGTCTCTTGCATTCGGGCATCATCTGATTGTTCGGTGCTCGGGGGGTCGCCTTTGCCTGTAACGAACTCGTAAGTTCGGCATTCGACATTTGCCCAGGCCGTCGCTATATCACATCGAGTCAGGCTGGTGACTTGAAATATATGGCTTTTGAATGACGAGGAGATCTTCAACATACCTTCATGTTTACATCCATCTTCCCAGTCCTCTGTCAGGAAACGTAGGAATCCACCATGGCTAATGACCACAATATCTCTCTCTGGTCGTGCTTTCAACCAATGCCTAGTATCTCGAGCACGGGCCTCAATCTTTTCCCTCGTGGGTTCATATCGCCCGGTCTGTTATAAACACATTAGCTCCACCTTGCACGGAACTTGCCAGGAAGAAACTATACTTTATTGGTCCAACCCTCTTCCACAAAGGTCAAGTCCACCGCCAAATTCCCCTCGTCCATCTCCTGCTGCAACTCAACAAGATCGCTTCCCACATCGCAAGCAAAATTGCTGAGTTCTTGCAGATCCGGAAGCGCGATCAATTTTCTCCCTTCCTGTAATCTAGTTGTAATATAGATATATTTTTATATTCCTATTATATAACTTACACTGCCACGACTCTTTCTTACAACACAACGACAAACCCCGTCACAATTACAAACTCTGATTGGCCACCATCTCAGACACAGACCGGACAGCCTAGCTACTGTGAGTTTCTTTGTGGCTGTGGCTACTCTCCACTAACGCGACTTCTAGGTAACAATTGGTATCAAGTAATGAGCAACGTTGCAGAAGCATCTTGATGAAGTATTCCACGTGGATGAGCAAGGAAGATTTGTGAGCATGTTCCAATGGAGACTTACCTGTCCTATCAAATGCTAAGATACAGTCTGCAGCATTGATTGGAATCCAGCCGTCGGTGAAAACTGCACCAACATATACTACGGATACTGGTACTGTGTCGGGATTCAGCCGCAAAGCTCAAACATCGACAATGGGACCACCGAGGCCTGGTACCCGACGTGGTCATACACTCCCCCAGTAGCAACGGATACGGATTTCGTTCCTAGCCCTACCCAAAGCGGCATTGCCACTGCGTGTCAGGACTATTATATCGCAGATGAGGTACGTCCGCAGCCTTTGGCTTGATCCTTTGGCTTGATCCTTCGGCTAACAAATCACAGACCGATACCTGCGACAGCATTGTTTCCGACGAAGGCTTCTTGACCGAAGACCAATTCGTCGAATGGAATCCCGACGTTGGAACGGACTGTTCGGGCATCAAGTCAGGCTACTATTATTGTAGCCATGCACAACAACTGTTCTGCCGTCCCCCGTGCAGACGGGGATTACCTCCAGCTGCAAGGCATGGTATCAGGCCAGTGATGGGGATGACTGCGACCTGATCCCAGAACAGTTCGGTACCTTTTCAAAGTCCGAATTCTTGAAATGGAACCCAGCTGTCCAGTCCGATTGTTCCGGCTTGGTGATGGGCGATTATTATTGCGTCGCTATTCCGGACACTCCTGCCACTCGAACTGATTCCATGACTGCCCTTCCAACGCCAACTACGCCATCTGACACGATTTCAGATTGTTCAGGCTAGGCTGGTCGGATCGTAGGCTTGCCTCCCCCGACCCTGTCAGAAGCTAGACTAACGGTCACAGGAACGATAATTGCACGACAATCGCGGATGACAATGATATTTCCGTCGCTAGTCTTGAGGCTTGGAATCGTTCTCTCGGTGCAAACTGCAGTGGATTGAGCACGGACACGTATATATGTGTCGCTGCTCCCAGCAATACCACTAGCTCATCGACCACCCCAAGCTCATACTCGAGCACGAATGCTTCGCCATAATCCACGACCGCTCAAGCTTCCATACCCGCTACATCTGGTGGATCCACTCCATCTCCTGTTCAGGTATGTAGTGATGATACGGTTGATCTCATTGGTGCATAGCTAACTAATTCACACAGACCGGCATTGTCAGTGACTGTATACGATTCTACAAAGTCCAGGCCGGCAACGACTGCTATGATATTGCTCAAGAGGCTGGCGTGGCGCTTGATGACTTCTACACTTGGAATCCTGCCATTAAGAGCGACTGCTCAGGTCTACAATGGGACGTCTTTGTTTGCATCGGAAAGTCGGGATACGCAACTACCATCAGTACCGGCACGCCTGTACCTGTGACCCCAACCCCAACCCAAGTAAGTCACTTTGCAGTACCCCTCTCGCTCAGTGAGTAAACTAACGGCATGCTAGACCGGAATGGTGTCCGGTTGTCTTCGGTTCTATGATGTACAGAGCGGAGAAGGCTGCGCGGATATCGCATCTCAGGCAGGTGTTGCTCAAACGCAAGTCTCCCATTGCTCTAGGCTTCACAGTATGATGTGTGCCCTACAGGTTAACTGACACTATGTAGGGACTTCTATAATGGAACCCGGCTGTAAGCACGAACTGCGCCGGCTTGCAAGCCTCCGTCTTTGTCTGCATTGGAACTGCCAGCCCAACCACGACGATCACTAGTGGAACTCCAGTACCTATCACATCCAAGAGCTAGAACCGAACTGGGGAGCACAATTTCGACATAGAATAGGTCATAGAAACTTATGTTGACCATGCCAAATCCGCGGGAGCAAGTGAGTGGTCGGCCCATGAAGTAGATACAAGCTCCAATCTGGCTAGCTCAGGCATCAATCCTTTGATTTCTTGAAACCAGTCGTGCCAATTGTACGGAACGCAAAGCTGCAGTCGAGTCCACTCCCGACCTTCCAAGAGTCTTTTCCATGGTTTGAGGAACACCTTCCCCTTTTCATGGGTATAGAAAAGCTCTTGAGCCTCACAGGGCGGCATTTGAAGTAGCACACGTAGCCGGAGCACGCCGCGGAAACTCTTCTCAACTAACCCAAAGAACGCGTAATAGGTTGCCATCCAGTCCTCCTCAGCTTGCCCCGGGTCCCAGAAGCCAACAACAAACGAGATGTCCATAGATGTCATAAGAGATGCACAACGCGGTGCCAAAATCCTTGATATCAGAGAAGGGGTGTCCATAGCCTCGTTCATCACAAAGACATTCGTCCCATAAAGAACTTCCAATGCTTCTTCATATCTGTACGATAATAAGTCAATGCTCTGACAGTGGAAGGATACCGACTTACCCGATTTGACAACATCTCAGCCACTCCACGCTGCCAATTTTGGGCCTCGGGATGTGCATGTACCCCTCGCGGCCCGAGATTGAACAGATATCCTCAACAGGATCATCGATAAATCCATCAGAATGGTCACAAACAGCATGCCACCAGCGCCAGCGAGGCTCGCTGTGCGGTTCCGGCGATGGCTTTCTCCAAAAATACCGAATATGCACTCGCCGATCGCCCATAAGCTCGAGGTATATCAGCCTCCTGATCTCAGCCGGGAGACGAAAGAGCGGACTTTGCTGCTGGGAGCTTTTCTGTCGAGCTCCAGGGCTGCGAGGGCGTTGCTCTGGTTGGATCGGAAGCTTCCATCGATTGAATATATCGCCGTTGATCTCACAGGTGGAATCCCAGATTCCTATTGCGTTTGGAGAACATTCTCGCAATGTAAACCTGGGCTCTTTCGGCCCTTTCCTTTTGCGCTTGCAAAGTTTGTTGAAAAAAATGGGGTGCCATGGCAGTGGAGTCTGGAGGAGTAGTTGGATCAAAGAGGGGCAACGAGCCTAAAGCGCTAAACTTGCGTCGTACTTTTGCCCATAGACACCATGCAGCTTCGTTGGCTGCCTAATTTTGTCAGTTGCGGATTGTATCACCCTGTGTTAGTAGTCGAGAGAATATAATTCCAAGTCATTTTCTGTGATGTCTTAGCTAATCTGTTAATAATGATCTCTGTACCTGTAGACTAAAGAAATTCAGTTGGACTTAGTATGTAGATAATATTTTAGATTGATGTTTCATACCCCGCCTACCGAAGTGGGGTGCTCATGTTGGCGTGGGTAGCTTTGATAACTCAGCGTCAAATAATTGGCTTACAAAGGTTACTTACTGGGGGGCATGACATTTACGCCTCCCTGTCGGTGCTACTGTTGCGAAAGCATCTCTCCGTATAAGAGATCAGTTTTTGCGCATCTTTTAGAGGTTATCCGTCTCGAGATATTAGAAGGCGGACGGAGCATCGAGAGCGATCGCGATGAATAGCCATCTACTCGAAGCGTACGTGGGCTTCACTTAACAACCTCGTCTTGTATGCTGACTAAATTCAATAGCGACCTCAGTGGCGGTATTGTGAAAATCGACGTTGGAGCATCGGAAACCCCCTTTGACGTCCACATGGAGCTGTTATGTAATTGCTCGCCCTATTTCGAGAACCTGTTCGAACGCCGTTTCGACCAAGCTCTCACGGAACAAGTGATTTGCTTTCCGGATGATGATCCCCAAACTTTTGCCCAAGTCATTCTTTGGATGTATCGTGGTAACGATTCCGTTGATTTGATCGCGGGTGAGAAAATGGACTTCTTGGTTCGACTTTGGATTCTCGCCGGCAAACTTGAAATGACAGACCTGCAGAATCGGGTGATGCTGGCCTGTACGAAAAAGACCAACGAAACGCTAGGGATTATTGGTGCGGACACAATTAATTACATCTACTCTCACACCTTGCCTCAATCCCCAATACGTTGCCTAGCGGTGGATATATGGTTGCGACGATCTACCGCAAAGCGCTTTGAAATAAGACAGGATGAATTCCCGCGGCCTTTCCTCGAAGAACTCTGCCATGGATTTATCAAAGAAAGAGAGAATTTGGATTTGCCTAAAAACCTCCCCATGCTCCCCCATGACCGTTACTTTACTCAATCTTCACCATTGAGAGACAGGAATGGACAGGCTCTACCACCAAGAGGGGAAGTGGAAATTAAGCAAATTGCTACAGAAGCTGAGATGGAGTCGAGGAAAATCAAAATTCCTTGCTCTCGCGTGAAAAATGAATCAGTGACGTCAAGTTCGGTGTCAATCAATACCGCGGTAGGTGTTGATGAATAACGGGATATGTTTGGAACCTTGAAGCTCGGATTAGTTGGAAGTTGGCGATCAAGGAAGGGAACATCCGTACAATCTTCTCAAGACCTTCTAAGATCAAGCTAGGCTCAAGGTTAGATTAGAATCCAAATGCGTTAAATCTTCGAAGGCAAATACAATGAATATGAAAGCCAGACTCGGTGCGATCATTAGTTTACCTGACCTCCGTTCCTGTCTGTGATCTCACGTCCAATATGAAAAAATTTATGTACCTTCGTAGCCGTTGCGACGGTGACGATATCGCTCCCTCGTTACCGGCAGATGAGTAACGCACATTGACATGGGCTAGATTCAGAAGTCGAATGATGGATGGTTTGACATGTTCGCTTTCTCCTATAATGTGGCAACTGCACCCCTTTGGAGACCTCTCATCGGCTGCTGCAGTGCTCCTTACAGCACGTCCAAAATTGTGTGCGCTCCTCTAGAAATGATACTCGGTTGTCCATGTAGTACTAGGGAACTTTCTTCATGGTTTATTGTGCATTTTATCTCCGTTCAGCAGAAAGTCATTGTTCACCCGTGAAGAGCCTGACGATCTTAAGGGATGCGAACGCCCCCTATCAAAAAATGATTTCCCAGCTGTCGCGAATAGCAATGTTCTAGGACTAAGTCAAGTGGATGAAGCTGTCTTGCCTAGCAATACAGTAGGTCTAGTTCCCTACGAGCCCCGTTTCGATGAAACATTGGGCTAAGACTCGACCTCGTTGATAGCAAGAATGAAACCGGCAGGTTGTGGGAGACTTGGTTGACGCGGCTCTCGGGCGTCGCGCTGCAACTCCTCGACCGCCGACCAGCTCCGGAGCGGCGGCATTCATCCACCTCCTCGATAGTCTGCCGAAAGACGGGATAGGCGCTCAAGAGTCCCCGTCCCATGGCGTGCCACTGGGCACCTTGGCCGGTGAAGATCATTCCCAGCCGGGGAGACAGTCGCGTGGAGTCGAGCGTCGACTGCAGGGCCGCCAGCGATCTGCCTGCCCAGCAGGCCAGCGTCCATGCGAACCGGGATCGTCTTTGGGTCAGTTTGAATGCCAGCTGATCCTGAGACGGTTAATGCTCATCTCGGAGCGTTCTCCTGCCTCTGAAACATATTGCCGCAGTTGGTCGACTATAGTCCGGCTCGCCTGTTGGCTTTTGGCGCTGAGCACGAACACTCGAGAGCGGGCCTTGGGATTCGGGGAGCAGAGCGCCGTCCGCGGCGACGGTGCCAAGAGAGGAAGGAGATATTGCGGATGTTCGATAATAGCGTGTACGTACATTGGCGCCCCTATAGCCGAAATTATTGATCGACGCTCGACGTAGTGTAAAGAAATACTAGTTGTCAGGTAGTCCTGTTGATAGGCGAGTTGAACAGTGGGGGGGAGAAACGTATGGTATTCTTTGTGCAGAGACTAATTATTGCTAAGTCCAAGTTTCCCGGGAAGGCACTCTTGTATCTCTTTGTCCCTGAATTATGACTGTCACGACGATGTGTTCAGCTAGCTTCTGAGTCCTTTTTCGGACACTGGCAGTTGTCAGGACTGTCACATGGTCGATCCTTGGCAACCCTCAAAGAAGCTCGAGACAAAGAAGCTAAATGTACATCAAGATCTTGGTTCCGCTTCCATAGTGCTTTTCCTTTACATAAATCCAATACCCCCTAAACATTAAGTCAAAAATTTAACGCATTTTATTAATATCACTAGTTTTTATTCACTTAAGAGTTAAAAGCTGTAAGAGAATTACCAAAAATTATAGGCAAAAAATGCATTAATTATAAAGTCACGAGGAAATGGCATGTTTGCACTATTTATCAAAGAATGGGCCCCCATTAGGCCCCCACGATGGGCCGATGGCCTAAAAAAAGGCCTAAAGCCTATCGTGGGCTTAAGAACTGGGCCCAAAGCCCAGCCCATTCGTGGGTTAGGCTGGGTTGGGCATTGGGCTCTGTGGGCCTCCCATTCGGTGTTCCTTGCTGTGACTGCTGGCCAACAAGGCTTCCTATAGAGCTTCCTCCGAGGTATGGTCATCGTCGCCGCTGTGCTCCTCAGCAGGAGTCGCAGGCTTCACTGGCTGGGGTTCAACCATGGCAGGGATAGATGCCGCCAGAGCTAACACCCAGGAAATCCACTCCCCCCTGCGAGGGGGAGCCAGTCGCCAGTCGATAGCCGCCACATTTAAAGCAAGCTGAAAGGAAGCGGGGTTAGGCAGTAATGTGTCATTCTTTGTGCTTGTAGCAAAAAATAACAGCCCCTAGAATAATCTACTTATTCTATCTCGGCCATCCGACTTTATAATTTGCCAAACTCACTAAGACATTCATATCTTCATTTTGGGTCTGGCCATGAAGAAGAAAACCAAAAGCAAGGCTTCACCGTCATTCACGGTGAATGATCTAGAGCTTGTCCCTTCGGTATCTGAGACGCAGGACAGGGGAGACCAGGAGACTATTCTCAGCCTTATTGCTAGGTAAGAAATAACCAATTCAACTAGGATAACATCCGTTCCGATGAAGCCTGGCCACTAACGTTGAATTAGCCTGTACCTCGACTCAGGCTATAGCGATTTGACCATCATTTGCAAGGATGAGGTCTTCTCGGCTCATAAGCTCCTCGTCTGCCCCAGATCAGAGTATTTTCGTAAAGCTTGTTATAGCGGGTTCAAGGTGATAAAAGTTAAACCTGTTAACGACTCTTCGAACTAAGACTGACAAGTGGCGATGACTTTAGGAAACCGAAAACCCGATTTATCTGGACAAAAAAGACCCGATCCTAATTGAGAAGGTGCTGGAATTCCTATACACGGGAAACTACACCCTCCGATCCCGCACGCCTAAATCGGAAAACCCACAGACTGATGCCGGTGAAGCGCCTGCAATGAATACAGAGCCTGCAGGAGAGCCAACAATGGAGCCCCTGCCCGAGGAACTTGCCATAGATGAGCCTGCGGCAGAAATTGGGGGGGGGACCGATGAAACTGCTATGGCAGCTCTAGAGAACACCGCAGAGGGACTTGTGGATGAATCACCGGTGCACCAGGAACCAGCTCCAATTGACGAAAACCTGGAGAAATACCCATCCGAGCAAAGGGGCGTCGTGGAGCCCGTGGCCGATACAGTAGCTGACTGTCATCCATCTCACTTCCATGTGCGCATGTATGGCGAGGCGGATTACTTCATGATCGGCGATCTGAAAAGCAAAGCGGAGGCACACTTTCGTGCATCATTCATGAATTGTCCCGAAAGAGAGTCCTTTACAGAAACGATCCAGGAAATTTATTCGACACGAGCCAACTATCAGGAGCTGAGGCAATTGGCGATTCAAATGATAGTTGACAACCTACCGAATCTTCGAACAGGGCTCACCCCTGTGATTGATCCTGAACTCATGAAGTCGATGCCCGATTTTACGTACGATTTATGTCAAGCGACTCTAGACAGGTGGATGGGGCACCTATTATGGAAGGGAACTAGTTCCGTGTGAGGTTTGATTCCTGGATTCCCTCAAGGACAACTGCAAATCTGCCAAATTGGTAATAGTAGAGATTCAGATAATAGTAGATTTGTTGGACAACAAGCTGGCCATGAAATGCAGATTCCATATGAATAATATCAATAACCCCAATTATTCTCGCATAAACCACCAGGTGCAATGAGCCACCGAGAATCAATTTGCATAGTAAGGGCGGAGAGTTCTTCCACACGGAAAATATATTTTCCACAAGACACTGGTGAAAGTGGATCCCGAACTCAAATAACCTCTTGTAGATTCTCCACGAGGTAGAGTCAGAGGGTTTGGGTCAATGACCACATTTGATAGCGGGCTGAGCCGAAAAATACAATGTAGACATTAGGTCATAAGTTACCCTGCTTGATTCATATGATCTATAATAGACTAACCTTCAAGATGTGCGATCCAACGATGTTCATGTTGCGCTATCAAACGTAATCAAGCTTCATCCTTAATAGCCTTTCCTCTAAGAAGAGTTTGCCTCTCTCGTACTTGCCTGGCCCACTTATCTTTTTGCCAGTGGGCGGGAGTACTGTGTTCCAAATACTAATGAACGGCCACTGTAATGGGGTAATTCGTCGTAACCGTCCGATATGGTGTAAGTCGGGGTGACGGTGAAAAGGCCACGATTATGCGTGGTCTTTTAAGGGAAAATCGTGGTCTTTTCACTAAGGGCTCGTGATGGAGCACCGCATACAGCACTAACTAAATCTACTTTAGCGCCGTTACTAGAATAAACACGTATCTATCATTAGTGCTATATATTCATGCGCAGATGATAGACTAAAGCATTAACAATTCTTTGCCGTCTGTCAATAGTCTTATAAACCCACCCGATTGACCGAAGCTCGTTCTAATGCGGCTGAATCTCCTGGTGGGAGCGTCTACTATAAAGTTAAAGTGTCTTGCCTGTTGAAGGTTCCGTCCCACCGCCATCTGATATAGCGTCATTATATAAGATTTTATAGCTCGAGGAGTTATGACTATACATTGACCTCTTACGAGAAAATGTGTCAGCTTAGCTCTTAGAGCGGGATTTGGTGATTGGTAGTGTACTACGGTAATCCTTCTGCGGGGATTACTACTTGTCTTTCTTTCACCTCCGAAATGCCGAGCTGTTCATTGCGGATAGGTCCGAACGCTATAAGATTCATATTCCACGGACAGACCTTAATATCATTGAAACGTTTCACTTTATAGAGTATGCCAAACCACGTACCTATCGGTACCTAGGTAGACTTTTAGCACGCTCTTTGTTATCATACTGAAATTCATCTGTAGACTAATTATAGTCGCATCGGTCTTAGGGATGTAAATCGCATCCCAGGTAACATGAGACTAAAGGACTCTACTAAGGAGGGACCTTTTGAATTGCGGAATCAGGCTCACAACCTTAACAGCGCTGGGTTTGAGTCGTATGTCTTGGCTCAGGCTCCGAGGGTGTCTTGGTATCAGATCCGGAATCATTCTAAGGCTCTTGGGTTATTTTGATCTCAATCATCTGGGGCTTTGTGAGGTCATGCCAAATATAGAAGCTCTAGGGTATATCGTAGATAGTCGATCAGTTGCAATCTATACAGGGGACACTTATTAAGCATTCAAATGTTTATATCATTCCACATTAACAAAGGTAGCCTGGAAGGCGGGTAACTGAGTGTTCGACATACTGCCCGGTCAAACCTGGAACTCCGGTTGTTTAAATTATTTATTTACTGTGGAACTCCGGAGCCAGTTCAAACTATGATCAGGCGAAGAATCATCTGGTGAAGAAAGTAACACTGATCCAGAATTTCTATGTTAGTGGTCAACTATCGCCTATGGTGCGCATCTCCCATGGTAGCTGTCACCTGATATCTTCCAAGGTTACAGTTGTGAGTGACAGATATTGTCGCCATAATTGATAACTAAAGTCACACCAGGTCGGTTCATCTGGTCGGGGATTGATGGGAAGTGCGTGCCACCGCCAGTACAGTCGCCTTGCAAGAAGATATAGTAAGTCGAATAGCGGCTCATACGATCCGACAGTGAGTCGGATTGGTCATGGTGATAGGCAAAGAATCCATTTGCATGATACCTCTGGAGAGACAAGGGCTTCAAGAGAACCTTAGACTCTAGATTCTGATAGCGAACTGCTCTTTGTTCAATGCATTGTAGAACCTTGACCCGTACAGGCCATACGTTCTGCGATTTCCGATACTTTTCGTCATTCTTGCTGATTCCCTCCCGGTAGACCAACGATGCTAGCCGCAGCCCGCTGATAGCAATATGTTGAAGTGAGCCCCAAAGGTGTCGTGCTATCGATGGCCTCCCAGTTACCAAGCCCACCGTCATCAATAGTAGATAGGGTGGAGCTGGTCTGACGGGTTGCATGGGAGAACGATTGCGGAGATGGTGGTGAAGTGGGAAAGAGGTGGAAGATGAACCACGTTGAGCGACTCAGACAGTCCCCTCTGCGACCAGATCGACTCACCACCTAGCTCAAGTCCCAATCCTTGCACCACTGCATCACTCGATCTTAAATACTGTGACTGTATGAAATTATGCGCGTCGCTAGCATTCGAAATTTATACTGACAGCCTCTCAAGCAAACAAGTTCCAGACGATGCCCTCTGTGAAACGCCCTCGTGACATTGCCATCTCGCCTCTCCCCGATCTCCTGGTCAGCGATAACCGGACGACGTCAAGCGCGCTTCATAAAATACGATTCGTTGGCTCACTTCTGCGATGGACAGGATTCATCACTGCTGTCAAAAATGCCTACGATACACAGCAGTGGAGTAACCGGCTGATTCTGGTCAGCGTCCAAGCCAGAAATCTCACCAATGAGAAAATTTTTCGTCGGATATGGGGCCGGGGTTTATGCTCAATTCCAGCAAGCTGCTAGACAGGTCCTTGGTGCAGTATTCGAGGCCCAATCAATCAATATAGCACTAGGTGACTTCAAGTCCACTGGACTTGCATACAGCAAGACCCCCGACGTGGTCATGCTTTCTTTACCGGATCTGCAAAACGCCAATGCGCAGCAACTAAGAGTTGTCGGCGAAGTCAAGGTACCGTGGCTGATCGACTTGACTTGTGTGCTACAAATTCAACTTTGTTGCGAGAGGTCCTTGCGCAACCTATTTCATACATGTTAGACCTGGGTTGTGTGTACGGCTTCATCACCAATTACCGCCCGACCATATTCTTACGACAAATTTCAGGTCGGATCAACTTGGAGAATTGAGCATTCCCCCGTGATCAAATCATCCGTCAGATATGCGCCTCCAGACCCCGCAAGTCAGTCTATTGGACCTGTGTTGACCTTCAATCAATGTCTTCTGTATCTTGCTACCATTGCTGAATCCCAGGGGCCGATTGCCAATCCCACTCCTCGCAGTCAATGGATCAGACGACGTTAATCATAGTATGCTGCCCAAATACTTTCGTGTATAGCAAATACAGTCATGCAAGCAAGAATCTTAGAAAATGTGTGCGTGCAATTGACCTACGGCTATGATCATACGGTAACTGGAGCTAAATCTGGCAATGAAGACAGACTTCAATAAATTGCATGTAACATCTGACATAGGACGCCTTTATCGCACCTGCAGCAATCCCTTGGTTCATATTCTTCTACTAAGCTAGCCAGGAAGGAACAAGATCGCGGATCATACTTCACACTGTATCCCGCTGTGGTTGTTTCCATATTCACCACGTCCAGCCGTTGACATCTTCGATCCAATCCGCCGTTTCGGGTGGTGTTCCTTCCCAGTCGAATCGGGTATCGGAGGGTTGGATGAGTCCGTATTGGAAGTAGTTAACATCACCCCACTGTTGAGGTTCGTCAAACGGAGATGCGAGTTTGAATCCGCAGATGTGCCTAGAGATAGTTAGATTATCATAGTCCACATGGATAATCTCGCATAGAGACACATTTGACCACTAGACTTGTCATAAATGATCTTCGATGGACCAGCCATACATGGCATGTACCCGCACGGTAAAAACCTTCTGCTCTCTGTTAGCCCAATGTTTCGCTGTGGTCACTAAATAGTCATACGTATAGACTTGGCGAAACTTATTGCGGATGGCCTGGCGATCGGCAAAGGGGAGCCTCCAGAATTCGGTCAAATTAAGAGACTCCCCGGCGATTTTTTCCCATAGAATGTACGTGATGTATCCACCAGGAACACCCTCGTCATGGCCTTGCTGGCGCTGTTGATAGCCTAGTAGTCGAGGAACAACGTCACAGTCTAGCTTTATAAATGTCCGGAAAGCGATCAGTTCTGGGTGGTCAGGAGGGGTGTTGACGGCCTGGCTACCCCGTATGGCGGCCTCCTTCGTTTCAGTTCCAGCTATAGGAACCTGTTGGTAAATGCGTAAAAATGCGCGCCTGTTGTCGTCTTCCTCACTGGCAGGTCGGCATAGGAACTTCCCGGCGGTGTCTAAGGGCTCGAACTCAGCGGCGATGTCTTCCTTTGTCAGGCGATTCGACTCTTCGCCGAGCTTCTCAAGTATTATCCATTTCTGGGCAGGGAAGTTGAACGGTGGTTCCGCAACGGCATCAAATGTGACCTGTGTTCCCTCAAGATCGGTGAGATATTCCATTGATGAATCCATGACAGGTAGTTTGGAGATGGGGATAAAAAGTAAAAAGAATGTGAGGGTAGAAGAGTAACTTGGTAGTGATCGCAGGTTGACCAAGAAAGTTTAATTCACTCCGGTTCCCTGGCAAAATTTCTCTCCCACATCAACCTCTTTTCTTTCAGCTATGTCTACTGTTTGTTGGACGGTTTCAAGTGTCTCGTTCGAGCCCTCCACCCTCTACTATAATCTCTTCGACTACGGATCTTTCCAAACAACCTCCCACGGAAGCCAGCTTATGTCTTCTCGACTGCCCCTCCGCCGGCCACCAAGCAGCCCAGTATGACAACTGGCCGCTGCAGCACGACCTGTCCCGAGGCCAATGGTCAAATTTACGTCAGCCTATA